CTGCTCCAGAACTAATGCACAGCAGCTTTCCAGAGATGAAGGGTATTGCTACCCATCATGCTCCTGGCCACAGATGGCTTTAGGATTAAGCATCCAGCTAAAGAATAACTTAACTTTGGCATCATGCCCATTGCTACTGATCAGGGCTGGTTGGTTCTACACTGAGAATTTCACAGAGAACCAGCTTCTCCTCCCAGAACTTGGGGCTCTCTTACCCTTCTTTTCTTCCTCTTCTTCTTCAAAGAATTCAGGTAGAGAAAATGCTTCTCTGAGTTGTTCCATTTCTTCCTTCAGTGTGTCCAACTCTTCCCCAGAGAGGGCATTTAGAACCGATTTCACCTAGTTAGGGGCAGCACAGCCAAAGAGAGAATTATAAAACCAACAAGAAAAAGAAACAGGATGGAAGATGCAGCACTGGTTTACATTGCATGCAAAAACATCAGACTGCTATTAATGAGAAAGCGGTATTTTCCTACGGAAAGGAGGAAAGGGAAAAAGACCTATTTCTGAAGTCTCATTAGATAATAATGGATTCTTAAGGAGTTCTTCAAATAATTTCTTTCATTAAAAAGTGAATGACTTCTGAAATTGCATGCTGATCTGCCCTCCTCCCTGCCCCAAGACAGAGAGGACAATCTTTGCTGTGCTTACAATACTCTCCTCTTCTCCAGACCAAGGCAGCAAACAAGTGGGTATGAGAGAGTAACTTGTGAAAAGTTGTTGAAGACATGCAGGAACCGAGGCTAGCTGGGTAAAGAGAATGGCTCTAGGAGCTGAGGACAGGACATAATACTCCCAAGGTAAACACCGGATCATAATGCAGGGGTCAAAGTGAAGCTGTGTAATCAATCACTTTATAGCAAGTTCTGAGCACTTGATTTTACATGTATATACATATATTTCTCATCTTTTTTTCCCTGCTCAGCTGAACCCAAAATAGAAGGCAAATTGCTCAAGGCCATTACCTTTGATTCACTCTCTCTGGAAAGCATCTCTAAGGCTTCCAGATGCGAAAGACCCTGAAACTCATCAAACAGTAACCCATAATGCGCTTTCTTCTCCGTAGCCATGGTAACCTCAGTAGCTGTCTGCTGCTCTTCTTTTTCCTTTGCCTCTCGTAAGACCTGAAAAAGAAAAGCAGAGGACTCAGGTCAGTGCCAGAAGATATAGAATACGGGAGGAAAAGACTTTTGGTTCAATAGTAAAAAATGGTTGCTTAATGACACGACCGCAAAAGAAGGGAAAAGAAGTGAGAGAAACCAATGAGGAGCTGATACGGAACTGCCATACCTGAGATAACGTAGAGTTTCTGCTCATTAGGCCCTTTGTTTTTCTGAATCCAGGGTCTCCCTCAGCTATTACATCCATTGTCTTTTTCCCGATGAATTCCAAGGCATCCAGACCTCCACTAATAACGCTTTTTCCCTAGGAACCAGATGTGGATATAGACAGCGCGTAAAACTCACAGAAGACTATACAATTGGAGAAATTGAATTGGGGGATTTATATCAGCAATGTTATGCCGGACACTCACATAAAAGCCAAATTGGTCCTTGTCATCCTAAAATTCAACCCTAATCGCCCCAAAGAGAGCAGAAGGATATGGAAAGAGCCACAATACACTATCATCCAACAGTTTACTATAGCACTCAGACAGCTGTAGCAATCTGATGGGAAATACATTTTTATTTTGTGAACAAGCTGGTTCTCAGCACATTAAAGTATTAAAGTATTGCATTCTTATCCCTCCAATCAGAAAACACCAGACCTGTGGGTTTTGGTTGCTAACTCTTGCTCAAGCCTTAAAAGCAGAAGCAAGCTTTCCATCTGCGGCTCTTTCAGATTCACAGGCAAATTGACAAGACAGCAGATCACAAAAGCACAGTTTCTAAGGGTAATGGGTTCCTTTGAAGTGCATTTCTCATGGTCACAGGAGCAAGCTGATTTCCAAGCAATTTGGGCTAGTTTCACAGAAGTTTTTGAAGAGGAGAATGGATTTCATCTCTAGACAGTTCTGTGGAAGTCAGTGGAAATATTCCAGGAATGAGTCTGACGCTGCATTTACCTGAATAGTCTAAAGGAAGGGAGCAGAGATAACAGAGTACAGAGGTGACATGCATGGGAATGCACACACCACACAGTCCACCGTTAGGTTTTTTTGTTATGTATCAACACTTAATACAGAACTATCAAAATTCAAGACAACTCACGCATTAAGCGCCAGTTAGAAGCAAGGCACGGGATAAAGACTGCCTGAAGGTTGAAACAGTTTCTCATCATTCATCCCACAAAAGTCAAAATTAAAAGTTTTCTCTTACAATGTTTCAGATGAAAGGCAAAAAACCCACCAACACTCTCTTAAACCCATTTTCTCCTGCATTCCCAACTCACTCACTGTGCTTTGGACAGCAGTAGAGATGGTTGATAAAACTCCAAGAGCCCCAGCAATAGGAAAGGAACTGCCATCATCAACTGCATCTGTGCTGCTAGCATCAGGATTCTCGCTTCCTGCATTAGAAGGCAGAAAATTAACTTCCTCACTCCCAAAAAAAGATGCCATCAGCTGCAGAGTGAAGAAAATATACAAACACCAAATGTCAGTCAGGAGCAGGGCCAGAATTGGGATTATTTTCCTGCCCACTTTTCAGAGCTAACAGAAGTAAGCAATAAAGTATTATTTTAGCACACAGATATGTACCTCAACATGCAAGATGCAGAGTAAGGTGATGTTATTTTGGGGCTGATCATGTTATGAGAAACGTTTCAGTATTGTTCTTATGCAGTAAAAACCAACCTCTTGTAGCATCTCTACTCTCTGAAGAGATTTCACTAGGACTGGGGATCCCAAGGGTTGTTTCTGCTTTTTCTATGACATTTGAAATACCTTGACCTAGAGAAGATAGCAGCATTACTTTAATCATGAGATACAACAGAAATCAGAACAGAAACAGGATTAGGGCTGCATATTGTTTTTTATTATTCTGGATTCCTCCTGTTCAAGACAGTTTACCCAGCATTAAAACCTACTATCCAGCTTACCAATGAACTCAGGTTTCATCTCAGCTTTTAAATCGAGTTGTAAATACCAGCTGAATACCAGTTTAAAATATGAGCTGAAAATTATGCAAACACCTTAAAAACTTGAAAGTCATTTTGGCTGTGCATATCTCTTTAATCTCACTATACCTTTTGGTACAAGTTTTCCCCATTACTTGAACAATTCTCTTGACATTTTTCCAATAATTGTTGCTATAACAGAAATCCCTTTCTCTAGAAACAAGCTCAAAAGCACTAGCTTGAGACATGAAGCATAGTTAAAATATTTATCAAATACCAGAAAGAGCCTTACCTACAGTAGCTACAGTAGCAGACGCAGTTGACAGAAGAGATTTCCCCCAGCTTCCCCAGTACCCCCATCCTGTCTGAACTGCAGCAGGAGAATCTGAAACCTTTAATGAAGAAAAACAAAAGAGAGTGATGCAGGTATTACGGTGAGGAGAGGAACACAAGCAGTCTGTGACATATAACTTTTGTGCAGCTTTTTCTTTTCAGATACACATCAATGTGAATTTTCAGAAAAGGAGTGGGGCTTATGCTCAGAATTCTTCTGTCCTCAAAGCCGTCAAACATGAAGTCACATTACTCAGAGCTAGCACAGGAACATACCTTGAGGGTTTCAGCTGCAGGCTTTTCTGTGGCAGCAGGCTGGCTTGGGGGTTTGGGTTCAGGTCTTTTCCGAGTCATAGGCACAGGCTCGAGCTCTTGCTTTCTCTCTTCATTGCTCTCAGTGCAGCCAAGTTCCTCTGCTTTCTGCTCATTTTCGTCAGAGGTTTCTTCCTTCAGATTTTCACCGCTGTCTTTCTCAGACATGACTGTGAACATCCATAGAAAGCAAAGCAGATAAAATAATCACTCCCTTGTACACTTTGACATTAGTTCAAAAGCATCGCATTTGTGTTTTAAATAATTAAACACAACTAAGACAGAAATCCCTTCATGTTGCCACACATACCCGCAGGAACAGCTTATGTTTTTAAGCAAGTGTGTACACCACGTCATGTCTGACTGGAAGAAATGTCACACTTCGAAGCTTAAAGTCCCACAGAAACACGTGGCTTTATCTAACTGACACACCCTCTCTGCAGGAAAGAAACAGGTTGCTAACTCTGGAAAGCAAACGAAAGGTACAAAAGGTCCTCAGATAATTAAACTCATGACTTGCTTCACCAAAGAAAAGCAAAAACAAATTGCTTGGGATGGCTGCTTTGAAGGGTGTCGGATACAAACGGGGATAGCTGTCAGAAAGCAGCAGCAACTGGTTCGCTTTTGTATTTAGGGCTGAGTTTTGCCAGGGCATTAACACCACCCAGAATTTGAAATATGCTCCAGCTGCCACAGCAACCATCCCCGACATTGCACATCAGGGATGACAGTGCCCACGAACAGGGCTGCCACACTGCGGCCTGCTCACGGGGGCAGAGGTTTCTCTCTCCTCCTGGCTTCGCTGGCAGCACTTCACCAGCTCCGGGGCAGTAACTTGAAGGCAGCAGCAGGCAGGGACAGGCAGGGCCACGCCGAGCACCCCACAGCCCCCCTTGCATCG